AGGTGCACTGTGTTGCATCAGGTGCACTGTGTTGCCCACCGAGCTGCGCTGGCCGCGCTCGATGCTATAAAAGCTGTGAACCAAGTAGGAGTTTACAAGCGCACATTATCCTCTGTGTACTCATTTTACAAGCACTCAGCCAGCAGGACCAATCGCCTCCGTCAAATGACAGCAGCGCTCGAGGATGAAGATGTGAAAAGCCTAAAGCAGCAGTGCGCTGTCCGCTGGTTATCCTTGCACAGGGCAGTGGAGGGTATCAAGCTAAACTGGCCTGCTCTGGTGATGGAGCTACATGTAGAGGCTGCTGGAGGAAATGCCCAAGCAAAAGGCATCCTTGGTCAAATCCAGTCATACTGCTTTATCGCCTGGACTCACGCACTGGCTGATGTGCTACCTGTTATGACCAAACTGAATTTGGTTTTCCAGAAAGAGGATGTATTTTTTGGAAAGAAGCTGTCTAATTTAGTCATTCATGCTAATCTTTAGCTAAATTATTCACATGGTTTTACACCTTGCTAAATAACCAACATTTATGATACTAGGGATGCTCCGATCGATCGGTCACCGATCGAGATCTGCCGATACTCACTCTCTACCGATCGATCGGTGCTCTCTAAACATGCCGATCGCGAGGGCCGATCGCATGACGTAAAATACATGACACTTTTCTCTGTACGCGGCAAAACAAGCTCGCCAAAATGGCTTCACCGGTCTGGCATTATTTTAAGTTGTCCGAAAAAGACAGTAAAATAGCGGTATGCAACGTGTGTGTGAAGCAGAAATCCTGCAGCTCCACCTGCTGTGACGGACCGGTGAGCGGAGCAAAACACACAAGAGTTAGACCTAACACACTTAGCTATTTTATCTACCTCTGGAACAAGCTAAACTAGTTATAAATATGTTTATTCTTCACTGTCGGCCTCACACATTACTGGATCAGCGAGCTGCATGAGACGATACTGACGGGCTGTCAGGAGAGGAAGAGAGGGGGAGAGAGAGGGGGAGAGAGAGGGGGAGAGAGCTTGCTAATTTCTCCCGTGGTATTATCCAAAGTGAATGTAAACTTGAATAATGTACATCATTTGAATGTAATAATTAAGTTGATTGTTGTTTGTGGAAGCTCCAGTGAATGAGCATTAACTGAGTTTTAAACATCACTTTAAATGGAAGATTTAAAGTGATGTTTAAATCTTCCATTTAGGCCCCGCCCACTCGATCGGATCGGCAATCGGTATCGGCAGATACTGATTCCGGCGATCGGCGATCGGCGATCGGCCCCAAAATTGGCGATCGGAGCATCCCTATATGATACATATTTTCAGACCTGGTTACATTTTCTTTGACATTACAGTAATTGTACCTGACATGATGAACATTTACTTTGACAGCAAAACATGGTTTATTGTGAAAAACACACATTTACCACTTCACCATGTGCTTCTCTCCATCACAGCCAAATGGAAATGATGGGTGCTTCTTGAATTTATGGTCACATGACAACAAATGTGCACATTTCCCTAGATAAAAGTGGTGGGGGGCGTGTGGTGCAGTGGGTTGTCTGTAGGTGTTCGGCTCAGGGGGTCACAGGTTCAAACCCCACTGCAGTCAGCATGTCGTTGTGTCCCTGAGACACTTCACCCCAAATTGCTCCTGTGGGGATTGTCCACAGTATTGAGTATGTAAGTCGCTTTGGATAAAAGCGTCTAACAAGTAACATGTAATGTAATGTTGGGTCAACTTACCCACCGGCTCAACTTACCCTACTCTCCCCTGCTAATGCAAAACAAGTCAGATTTAGCGCTATGAAATCGTTGGCACTGGCTGCTGATGTAGGCCACTTTTAATTTGCTAGTGTGTGAAGTTTGTGTTTCAGTGTGACGTGTGTGTTTCAGTGTGAAGTGTGTGTTTCAGTGTGAAGTGTGTTTCAGTGTGACGTGTGTGTTTCAGTGTGACGTGTGTGTTTCAGTGTGAAGTGTGTGTTTCAGTGTGAAGTGTGTGTTTCAGTGTGACGTGTGTTTCAGGCCCCGCTCACACGGGACCGTTTGCGTTTATGCACAGTATGCGTATTCAAAAAAGTCTTCCGTTCACATGCATTTGTTTCATTTAACGTGTCTGTTCAAACGAGGCCGCTGGAAACGCTGTAGTACATATGCTGGGACTGTAAGTGGCGCTGTAACTTCCGCCAAAATACACCAAAAGCCGCGAAGAAGAGCAACCTGAGCAGCCCCCTGCAATGTTGCCATGGCTACCCTTCTGTTTAAGCCCCGAAACTGAAACTGAAACTGAAAGAAACCGAATCTGTGGATATTGCATCGACCAGAAGCACGTCTCTGTGGAGAGGACGGCTCAGAAAGAGAGATATTCTCTACAAACACCGGGTGAGATCGCACCTTTGTCAATATAATGGATCAATGCATGAAATCTGACTCTGTTTATTTTGTTTAAGGAGTATATTGGGCGTTAACAATTCTGGTTTGCCTTTTATAATATTATTTCATTCAAGAACCCCTTGTGCGTTTAATTAACACAGCTATTTTTGATAGTTGCTACAGCAGTGAGCAGGAGAGGTGGGGAGAGGTGGGGCTATCGCAATTTTTTCAGGAAATATTCGTATAGAGGTGATTACACGGACTCGGTTGACCCCCCAGAGCGTTTCGTTTGCAAATCTATCCACCTTGGGACCCGTTATTGTTTGTGGGGTCAGTTTCTATCGGCCTCGTGTAAATAATAGGGCTATACGCACGCGAAACTATGCAGATACAAGCAGTTTTCTCCTCGTGTAAACGGCGCCTCAGTGTGAAGTGTGTGTTTCAGTGTGAAGTGTGTGTTTCAGTGTGACGTGTGTGTTTCAGTGTGAAGTGTGTGTTTCAGTGTGCCAGTATTTGTTTCAGTGTGAAGTGTGTGTTTCAGTGTGAAGTGTGTGTTTCAGTGTGAAGTGTGTGTTTCAGTGTGAAGTGTGTGTTTCAGTGTGAAGTGTGTGTTTCAGTGTGACGTGTGTGTTTCAGTGTGAAGTGTGTGTTTCAGTGTGACGTGTGTTTCAGTGTGAAGTGTGTGTTTCAGTGTGAAGTGTGTGTTTCAGTGTGACGTGTGTGTTTCAGTGTGAAGTGTGTGTTTCAGTGTGCCAGTATTTGTTTCAGTGTGAAGTGTGTGTTTCAGTGTGAAGTGTGTGTTTCAGTGTGAAGTGTGTGTTTCAGTGTGAAGTGTGTGTTTCAGTGTGACGTGTGTGTTTCAGTGTGAAGTGTGTGTTTCAGTGTGACGTGTGTTTCAGTGTGAAGTGTGTGTTTCAGTGTGACGTGTGTGTTTCAGTGTGAAGTGTGTGTTTCAGTGTGCCAGTATTTGTTTCAGTGTGAAGTGTGTGTTTCAGTGTGAAGTGTGTGTTTCAGTGTGACGTGTGTGTTTCAGTTTGAAGTGTGTGTTTCAGTGTGAAGTGTGTGTTTCAGTGTGAAGTGTGTGTTTCAGTGTGACGTGTGTGTTTCAGTGTGAAGTGTGTGTTTCAGTGTGCCAGTATTTGTTTCAGTGTGAAGTGTGTGTTTCAGTGTGACGTGTGTTTCAGTGTGAAGTGTGTGTTTCAGTGTGAAGTGTGTGTTTCAGTGTGACGTGTGTGTTTCAGTGTGACGTGTGTGTTTCAGTGTGACGTGTGTTTCAGTGTGCCAGTATTTGTTTCAGTGTGAAGTGTGTGTTTCAGTGTGACGTGTGTTTCAGTGTGAAGTGTGTGTTTCAGTGTGAAGTGTGTGTTTCAGTGTGAAGTGTGTGTTTCAGTGTGACGTGTGTGTTTCAGTGTGACGTGTGTTTCAGTGTGACGTGTGTGTTTCAGTTTGAAGTGTGTGTTTCAGTGTGAAGTGTGTGTTTCAGTGTGAAGTGTGTGTTTCAGTGTGACGTGTGTGTTTCAGTGTGACGTGTGTTTCAGTGTGACGTGTGTGTTTCAGTGTGACGTGTGTGTTTCAGTGTGACGTGTGTGTTTCAGTTTGAAGTGTGTGTTTCAGTGTGAAGTGTGTGTTTTCAGTGTGAAGTGTGTGTTTCAGTGTGAAGTGTGTGTTTCAGTGTGAAGTGTGTGTTTCAGTGTGCCAGTATTTGTTTCAGTGTGAAGTGTGTGTTTCAGTGTGACGTGTGTTTCAGTGTGAAGTGTGTGTTTCAGTGTGAAGTGTGTGTTTCAGTGTGACGTGTGTTTCAGTGTGAAGTGTGTGTTTCAGTGTGAAGTGTGTGTTTCAGTGTGACGTGTGTTTCAGTGTGACGTGTGTTTCAGTGTGAAGTGTGTGTTTCAGTGTGAAGTGTGTGTTTCAGTGTGAAGTGTGTGTTTCAGTGTGAAGTGTGTGTTTCAGTGTGAAGTGTGTGTTTCAGTTTGAAGTGTGTGTTTCAGTGTGAAGTGTGTGTTTCAGTGTGACGTGTGTTTCAGTGTGACGTGTGTGTTTCAGTGTGACGTGTGTGTTTCAGTGTGACGTGTGTGTTTCAGTGTGCCAGTATTTGTTTCAGTAAACAGTCCAGATCAGCTGGTCCTGTGGGATCTAAAGTTGAATCCATGTGAGACTTGTGTTTCGTCACTATGGCTACTCAGTTCTGAAGCTGTTTTGTTGTGTCTCCTCAGGGACTGTGATGTCAGTCAGATTAACTACATGTACGCGCAGTGTGTTAAAAACACCATGCAGCCTCTCAACATCGCAGACGTGACCAAGGACCAACGCTTCCCTTGGACAGTCAGTATATGATTTATTTGCCTTTCTCCTTTTATTTTATTTGTCTTGAAGTGAGTAATGATCCCTGTTGTCCTCTGACAGAGGGAAGATCCAGATCTCAGCAGCAACCAGATCAAGAGTTTGCTCTGCACTCCCATCAGGAACGGCAAAGAAGGATAAAGTCATAGGTGGGATCTCTCTCTCTCTCTCTCTCTCTCTCTCTCTCTCTCTCTCTCTCTCTCTCTCTCTCCTCTCTCTCCTCTCCTCTCTTCTCTCTCTTCTTCTTCTCTAGCTCTCTCTCTCTCTCTCTCTCTCTCTCTCTCTCTCTCTCTCTCTCTCTCTCTCTCTCTCTCTCTCCAATATTTGAAGATGCACTCATTTAAAAGACGACAGCAAGAGGTTTATTTTATTTATTTATTTGTTTATTCCACTCATGGCAACTATTATAAAATAAAACATATACAATTTACACAGTTTTTGTAGCCCATGATGGAAAGGAGCAGGGAGAATAAAATCTTATTTTACCTACCCCTTAAAAGAAAGAAATCGATGGTCTGTCCCTCACAGCTGCTTACAAATACGTACAGAAACATGAAATCAACACAGCAATCTACCATCAGATAAACAGGTTACCGGACATCTTCACACTGTCTAATTATTCTTTCTTTACATTCTCTTCAACCTAAAGTTGTTCATACAGCCCTTTAAATCATTTGGTAATGAATTCAACAGTTTAACGCTAATAACACAGAGACACAGCTGCTCTAAAGTAGTCCAAGCAAACTGATTTTGAAACTGGTCTTGAAATGTTTCTTTACAGTGTATTTTTATTTCTGTCAAGACTAGTGTTAAACTCATATACTAGTAAACACATATATAAGTCAAATCTAGAGAAGTGAGCGCCGTGTTTTTCCCGGCAGTGTTGATTATAAACCCGAGAGTTAGATACTTCAGCAGTCTTAAATCATGAGAACACATTTAGCAGCATAGCATAGCCACTTTTATTATAATTATTGAATATTCTTGCCACTCCACCCATCACTTATCATCAGCATAATCATTTGAGAGCAGCTCCATCGGTTGGCTGTGAAGATGTCACATGATGTCTGATCAAACAGAGCTTCTCCTCCAAACCTTTAAGAGTCCTGGAGACGAGCAAGATCAAACAGAGAAATGACACATTTATTCAGACTACCTATTTTTTGCCTCATAAATTAATTGTGAACATTATATATGCAATATTCTGTTCTGAGCCCATGTAAGGCACATGTTTTTGTCCAGGTTTTAACAACAACTGCTGATTCTCCTTTTCAACAGCATGAACAGCTGTGCCTTGTTACTGTAATGCCATATGTTACAATATACAAGTAATGTAACCTGATTACTTTACGTTTGTTTGGATTACCTAATATCAATGCAATTCAAATAAATACAAGAGAAAATAAATATTAATAAAATGTCATCTGTGGAAGCCGTAGTACTGTAAAAAGCACGACCAATCATTTTAGCCGGCCCGGCTAAAATAACTGGATGGCCTGCCTGCCTGTCAGCCTTCCATCTGTGCACAAACTTATCTCGTGCCCTCATTGGTCATGTGCACGTTCGTGTGTGTTGGAGGAGGGGCTCTGTAAGGAAGTGGAAGATTTTTTCCGGTTGTGTATTTTCAAATTCTAGCGATCTCGAGCTGGTTTCTCAAACTTACCTACCCTACCTTTAAGTGTATTATGTTAGACGACAGGACAATGTGACCTTAGAAAAGAAGAAACCAAGATATTTAGGATCAGAAATGATTTTATTTACAGGAAAAGCTGCCTTTCATGAAGCATATTCAGGCAGTGTAGACCAACAGTGAAACACATGAGCACATACTACAGTTTAAAAAAGCAGGAATAATATCTGAGCTGACAGGAAATGCTCCGTTTGAGTTTAATACACACAGTTAAGCTCACACACACTATTTTATGATCATACCTACTGAATTAAAAACAGAACAAATGAAGCAAAGAAAGTGAAAACCATGAAGCAGTTTCAGGCAGTAGAAGTATAGATTCACACTTAAAGTATAAGCCTACAGAACAGTACAGTTTACAGAGAAGAGATATCATCTGATCCTTTACTACAAACACTATGCTCTTTTTAGTTAACTTCAGTATATGGATTAAGAGCACCATAGCATGTGCCTCGTAAAATATTGTTCTTCAGTTTAACACATTGTAATCCTGCTAGTAATCCCCATTTTTTACAAATGTAACAGTTATCTAATTCCCTTTTTTTAATTGAACTGTAAGGGATTAAAATTACCTTTATTTTGTATCCCGATTACGTAATCCTGTTATATGACAATTTTTCAAGACAATATAAAAGTAGGATATTATTTACATAAAGGATATGTACCTAATCTGCTGATACTGTAACTGATGTTTCCTGTTTTAACCCATATTCCCAGTGTAGTGCTTTGTGTTCCTGTCTAATCCCATGGTGCTTTATTTGTTGTGTTTGTTAGGAGTGGCTGTTACAGCCATGTTTCAAGCATGGTGAAGCCTGAAATGTGGAGTACCCCAAAGTTCTTTGTTAGAGATGTATAGTAGGGTCCCCAGCACATAGAAACTGCTCGATGCTAACCTGCATATGTTGGGCAATTTGCACAATTAGCTTACATTGTGCTAATTAGCATGAGTGGTATAAGGGGAAAAGTTACGGCTACTCCACTGTACAGGTTAAGTTAATAGGTTGCGGTCGCTTGTATCCTCCAAAGATGGACGACTTGCCGTTAACAACATCACGTTCCCATTCCCAACATTTAAAAAAAATTGTCTCAAACATCCAATTGGACAAAAAGGATCAACTGATTGGTTGGCAGAGGGATATCACCAGTCAACAGTTCAAAAAAGGAAACACTTTTTCAGCAACAATGCCCTCAGTCCGGCACTTGAACACCCAGCATGTGTACGGAAGCTTCCATGTCAACAACATGACCTTTATGTCTGTGTGTGTGTGGTGTGTAGGTGTGTGTCAGCTGGTGAACAAGATGGATGAAGCTTCAGGCAGTGTGAAGGCCTTCAACAGGAACGATGAGCAGTTCCTGGAGGCCTTCGCCATCTTCTGTGGTCTAGGAATTCAGAACACACAGATGTACGAGACAGTGGAGAGAGCCAGGGCCAAGCAGCAGGTCACTCTGGAGGTCAGACACACACACACACACACACACACACACACACACACACACACACACACACACACACACACACACACACACACACACACACACACACACAATGATGTCCTTTAAACAGTGATTTGAAGGCCTTTTGAAAAGTGCGGTCAATTTGTAGATTAAGTAAGATTGATTTCAGTAGAGTACAGACCTGGGGCCTCATTTATAAAGCCTTGCGTAGGATTCACGTGGGAAGGTTGCTTACGTAGGACAAAGCAAATAAATACGCACAGACATTTTCCGTGCCCACGCACGTCCTACGCCGGTTTCCCTTTATAAATCACGGCGCAGCTTTTGCGGGCTTCACGTAACGCCCATATTTGCCTATAAATAGTCAAAGAAACGCCCCGTATTAATCTTCATTGTGACTGACTGCATGAAGAAGATCGCAGGAAATGACGACAGAACAGCTAAAAAATACTTTTGGTTCTTTTGGGGAGGTGGAGATAAATCATATTGTTTGGTGGATGCAGTTTGAACCAGAGTAGCAGCATGGAGGTCGGATCGTCACCAAAATAAATAAATAAGTGGTCCGAAAAAAGTTAATGACAAAATACACATAACCTTCCTCAGGCAGTGTGTTTGTCCCGGGGACAGGAGGACCCCCCCCCCATGATGAGAAACTGTAAGAAAGTATCGGTGGATCCCTGCGGAGTGGAGTCAATTCATGTTTATTTTTTTATTTGGTGGTTTGTGTTCCAGCTGTCGATCAGCTGTCGATCAGCTGTGCGCTGCGTCTCCACTGCAGCCTGTGCGTCTCAACCCCCCGCAGCAACTCTACCCACCACTTAAATGAAATAAAACAAATGTGTTGTGTTATATTAGCTGTACAATTGACCACATATGGTGTTCTTAGTTTCCATACCTCCTGTGTTTTACGAGCGACTTATCAAGTCTTGGCAAACGGCATAAAACACGATTAAACGTGATAGTATATAAAACCATGCTCGTATCTACAACCTATAGAAATGCAAAACGGCGTCAGTTTAGACGTTATTCTGTCCGCCTGCTTTACCGCATCATTTATGAGAAAACATTTCATAACATTAACACAACATATTCGAGGTGGTTTTAAATAACATATCCGTATTTATTTATTTCTCCAAGTTATGTTTTTGTGTGCACTGAGGAGTCTCAAACAGGCGTTTGTTTAATCATTTAAAGATTGGCTTTAATCCATTTTTGCAAATTAATTCTTCATATTTGATAAATGAGAGGTAACATTTTATTTATGGTATTATTTCCACATATTTCTCTCCATTCTTCCTTCTGCCAACGGTGTCGTAGTTTCTGGTCTCTCCCGTTTTTGTGCGTACCGCGTACAGCTGGGTCAGAGTTGGCAGGAGGACCGCACATTTTCGCGTCAAGTTTTTAAAATGCACCGTTTATAAATGAGGCCCCTGAGCAGTAAATAAATTGATTTTGTGATAATTTAGGGAGAGGCCGCTCGGTTTTCTGATCTATTAAACAAAGCCCAGTCTAGGGAATGCTGAAGCACAACAATCCTTTTCTCTAGCTTTTAGAACTAAACATTTCAAAGATGGGTATGTTTATTTTTAGAGCTGCACAAATAACTGTTTATAGTTTTTGTCGTTTTTTTTATCGGATTGGCTAATACATCATTGCTACCACAGGAAAAATAAGACCTGAAAAGATACAGCATAAGGATGAGATTTGTTTTTTATTTCTATAGCAAGAAAAACAGATCTTGGCCTCTGTACGTGATAAAAAACAAACACATTACAGAGTGTGTTCTCAGTGGAGATGTCAGCTGAAGGGTGTCTGGTCTCACTCAGCTGCAGCTGACGCAGACAGAGCCTCAGCACCTGAGAGGAAGAAGTACTCTTGTACTTAAGTAAAAGTAGTCATTGTGCAGATTGGTCCATTTCAGAATAATATATATGATATGTTTTATAATGATTGATCATGAAAGTGTTCTCAAAGCTGGTAAAGGTGCAGCTAGTTTGAATGACTTTGTATACTGCAGGGTAGCTTGTGAATTTACTCCAGGTGGAACTAAAGTCTGATTTAACACTTGATTATATTTCACATCATTAATCCACATCTGTAAAGTAACTAAAGGTTGTAAATACATGTAGTGGAGTAAAAGTACACCATTTACCTCTGAACTGTAGGGGAGTAGAAGTACAGAGTAGCAACAAATGTAGATAATCATGCAGCTTAGGTACAGTACTTGAGTAAATGTACTTAGTTACTTTACACCACGGCTCAGTGCAAAGGTCCCTACACCTCTCCATCCTGAGGTCCTGTTCACAAATATCATATCTTACATTGACATCCATCAAAAGCTTGACTTGAGTGTAGAATACGGACACACTGGCTCTATACAGACAGGATGGTACATAGCACCCCTGTTGGAGCTATACATTTATTAGGGTTATTTAGCAATTAAATATGTATTTTCTTGCTGTTTATTTACGTTAAATTAATCATTATTTATTGTAATTATTTGTAGTTAATTTAAGTATATGCTTTGATTTTGATGGTGGTTCTGTGCACTGGGTGGTTTGGGAACCTGGTGATCTTGTATATGTTGGACACAGGTGTTGGTGGGGTTGGCGCAGCTAGATGAGGGAAACACAGGACGCTACATCTGAAATGATATTGGATCAATGCACAAAACAACGTTCTTGCCTGGACATTGGATAATCCCCCTGGATGAGATTCCCTTACTCTCAAAATAATTTTATTTTGAGATACATTTTCAGTTTTATTTCTTATTATTTAGCTGCTACACCCCCTACAAAACTCCCACACTCAGACTCTCAGATGGTTGGGTACTCTGCCCTGCTGTTCAGTGCATACAAATAAAGAACAGTTTGAGATGTATTAGTGTAGTTTAGAGGCGACCCTCTTCCCCATGGAGACCCCCCAACACAGCAGCGTTCAGCGGGGGGCTGTTAGTGATCCCACACTTGCGAGTAAAGCAATTATATCTAGTTGGTATAATTAATATCATTTATTTTAGCACTTTTCTTTTTCGCCTGTAACAGTGAATACAAAATAAATTGTCGACTGCAGTGGCGATCAGGGCGGGTTTCGGACTGGTGTTCCCCAGCGCTCCCTAGTAATGCATTCCACGTCCCTAAAACCAGGCTGCCAGTACCTAATGCTGAGAGTGGGGGGCGGCTCCTTGTAGTTATTTTTGTCTTTGATTAGCCAAGCCCCATACAGCAAGGCACCCGTTAACCCTCTTTCTATTGGGCAAATTCAGAGACATTCCAAAACATGTGGATGCTACATCAAATGATCAGATACTGATTGACCCCACAAAGCCAAACCAAATGTAGATGCAGGTCAGGAGTTGGTTGTATATGCCGTGTTATATGGTGTTTTCTACAGAGAAGTTGATATGTACTTTTTTTATGTGTGTGTGTTTCAGGTGTTGTCATATCACGCCTCTGCCGCAGAGGAAGAGACGCGGGAACTCCAGGTAACCGCGGTAAATTACCATTTTATTACGTTGACAAAACACTCCACATGAACCTTAGTTGTCACACGTGCAAACATGGATTATTAAACACAAAGTCATAAGCACACAAGCGACACACACATCCTTCAGATGAGAAGCATGTAACACAACCCCACAGCGCTCACTCAGTATTAAACGGCTGCTTCATCACAGCACGATACAGGAGACATGATTGGCTACCAAAGCTAGAATGTGGATACATTAAACACATTACATCTCACACTGATGTTTTAAAGAGTTCTTTCTCTCACTCCCGGAGGTTGTATAACCCTTAAATGGGCTATGAAATATAAATATTTTGGATCATTCATTTATTTATTTTCCCCATATAACACCCATATTACACTGTTATTGCACCCATATTACACATTGATACACCCCTATTAAACCCTATTATAACATAATTACACCCATATTAAACCTTAACTATACCCATGTAATATTATTTTTATATCCACATAACACTGTTATTAGACACACATTACACCAATGTAACACTGAGTTTACACTATTATTACACCGTAATTACACCGTAATTACACTGTTACTACATCCATATTACACTGTTATTAGACCCCTAATATACCCATGTTACACTGTTATTTCACCTATATTACACTGTTATTAGACCCATATTACACCCATTTTACAAATGGACACATCCTTTCAAATTACTGTATTTTTATTGTTGTTGAACTTCTTAATCTTAATTTATTTCTTAGACTGTCATTTATTAACTCAAAATTTGATATACTGTTAAATTCCGTCTTTCTTGTGATTTTCATGATTAGCTCACTTGCAAGTACATAACTGGTTTTATAACAGCTTTTCAAGGCGCTGTGAGATTATAAAATAAATCAGTTTAGTCCAGCTTCCACAGCCTGAGCGTGGAGGCGTACAGTACGAGCCTGTTCTCTTCTCCTGGTTGTGGCTGAACTCACAGCATAACCTGATTAAGTGGCTCCTCTTGGGTGCTAAAGGGAGTATGCGTCACTTGGTATCTAGGACACGGGTTCTACCCATGAGACTGCTGCATACAGTCTGTGTTACACATCATATGAGGAAAACCCTCGTAACTAAAGCTGCTACTGTACCTGCAGCAGCACTTTTAATATCTGGGGTGCAGATGCATGATACTCCTGCCGTTTATTGTTACACAACTGAGTTCCCTGACATATTTTGTGTAATGATTGACACTGCTGCTGGAACAAAACAATTTCCCAATTTGGGGTAAATAAAGTATCTATCTCTCTATCTCTCTATATTTATCAGTGTGTGTGTGTGTGTGTGTGTGTGTGTGTGTGTGTGTGTGTGTGTGTGTGTGTGTGTGTGTGTGTGTGTGTGTGTGTGTGTGTGTGTGTGTGTGTGTGTGTGTGTGTGTGTGTGTGTGTGTGTGTGTGTGTGTGTGTGTGTGTGTGTGTGTGTGTGTGTGTGTGTGTGTTTTCAGGTAGCCACTGTGCCGTCCGCCCAGTCGTTGCATCTCATGGACTTCAGCTTCAGTGACTTTGATTTGTCAGACACAGAAACCACCATGGCTACAATCCGGATGTTTGTCGACCTCAATCTGGTCCAAAACTTCCAGATGAAGTACACAGTAAGAATTAAAGTAGATTTTACCTAAAAATGCTTTATATTGTTTCTGTCCATCTGTTTATCTCACCAGAGCTGGATAACACACTAGTTATTTGGTAGAGGCCCCTGAAATCCTGACATACATCATACATACATCCTAAGTCAAATGAGGCAGGTGGTTGTTCAATTATTAAAATGATAGCTATTGCTACATGACCACAGGTAATATTTCCAGACATCAATAGAGAGACAAAGCCTGAATTACATCAGTGATACACAAAAGGCTTTTTTATTGTGAAAGGTATCATGGCAACCATCACATTAACCATCACATTATGCTGACAATTGTTGGTTGTTTTCAATAAATGTCTCAGAAAGAGACATGAGAAGCCTCCTGGTTTCAGTAATTGCAGAAAACAATCTGCTGGTTGTTATCAGCAGCATTTGAGCATGAATGTGTGTGTGTGTGTGTGTGTGTGTGTGTGTGTGTGTGTGTGTGTGTGTGTGTGTGTGTGTGTGTGTGTGTGTGTGTGTGTGTGTGTGTGTGTGTGTGTGTGTGTGTGTGTGTGTGTGTGTGTGTGTGTGTGTGTGTGTCCAATGATGAGTGAATGCATTTACAAGTGAGTTAATATTTGTGCATCCTTAATTCAGAGACCACACACACATGGACAGAGCAATGTCATACACCAAAAGCACTTCCCCAACAAGAATCCCTCACACACTCTGGTGTCTGTCAGTAACCCCCCCTCCCCTCCCTCCCCCCCCCGGCGCCGGACTTCTGGCGGGTTTGGCTGGCGTCCTCAGCACACTCCCCTCCTGAAGCGGTCCCTGTGTGTTGGTGGTTTACCTCCGCGGTGCAGCCGAGGGGCCAGAACAGAGGGTCTTTGATTGGAGCTGATTGGGCCCTCAGGCAGGAGAGCTGTCAGTCTGACACCCACACTGACACACTGACCACCAGCCTGCCTGGGGGTACACTACACAACATGCTATTATTCTCAATTATAATGTGACATCAAAGTATAATTCAGATCCTATTTAAAGGTTCTCTCATCACATGTACAGCAGCCACTGTGTATAAATATATATAAGACATAAAACAATACAACTAATACAAAATGTGCAAGAAATAACAGTATAGAAAATAAAATAGTGCATGAGAATGTTGGAAGACTAATGTGAGGTAATGCAGGAGAAGTGAAATATACACCATACTGCTTATTTTAATAATAAATAAATAAATATGTGAGATAACGGTTCCTGAAGAGTAAACGTGACTTTTTTACTTTGAGTTAAGTTTAAATTAAAAAGCGTTTACTTTTTAAACATCGTTTTGCTGGCAAGGTGCAAAGTATTCAATTTCAAATAATACTTGGACAGTCAAGCCACTTTGCTTATCACAGGTTCTTTTACTTTGTTCTCTGTTGTTTCTGCAACCCTCTCATAAGGTAGTCTGTGTTTTCCTTTAAGAGGAGATCATCCTGTAATCACCCCGAGGGGAGTTCAGGTGTTGAACAGGACTAAGATGGAACATGGGATGGGACAGGTAGGAGTTCAGGTGTTGAACAGGACTAAGATGGAACATGGGATGGGACAGGTAGGAGTTCAGGTGTTGAGCAGGACTAAGATGGAACATGGGATGGGACAGGTAGGAGTTCAAACAAGGATAATTGGAATAACAAATTAAAAATCACTTCAAAAGTGCAACACATTTTGATTTAGACATACAGATATGAATAATTATGAATGTATAAAAAACATATATGCAAGTGTGAAAGTCCCAGTCCTATTGTGTACTGTACACACAGTGGTTAGCCCTTATGTCAGGGTCCCTGAGGAGGACCCCCCCCCTGCTTCAGATACACAGTGGGTCTCGCAGCTCAAAACAATAGGTCTGACTGAGTTGGTTGAGTTTTTCATTTTGGAGAATATTTTGAATGGGTTCATGTTTTTGTTGTATGTGTGTGTGGGTTTTTTATCTAGAGTATGATGTCGTTAGCATACAAACGTATCTAGGTAGAACTTTAATGTAATTGTTCTCCGCTGTAATACAGACGACGAAGAGGAACTCTACAGGGTGAAAATGTGATGATGTGTCCTCCCTATGTTGACCGGAGTCTAAATGGAATTTTAAGGCATTTATTATTTAAATATTGTGCTTAAACCTTGTACCTTCAGCTCTGGAAAAAATATTCATGAGGGTTTGATAAATGTCTTTTTCCCAATTTTAGAGTTTATGCCATTGGATTCTGAGTGTGAAGAAGAACTACAGGAAGAATGTGGCCTATCACAACTGGAGACACGCCTTCAACACGGCCCAGACCATGTTCACCCTGCTGAAGTCCGGACGCTTACAGGTCAGCCAATCACTGCTCAGGACCAGCTGATCTGGGTCACTGCCTTTTACTCTAATCCAAAAAGTAGAATTCTATACAGATGCTTTAATGCAAGCTTTGCATGCTTATGTTATCATCTACAGATCTAACATGCTTTACTGCCACTCAAAACATGTCATTGTCCGCCTTCCACAGCAGCTAGAAACTGGAGAACTGGACATGCTAATATGAAAGAAAATCCAATGCTGTTAACAATTGATCAGTTATGCTAGGAAAATCCCTCAAATCATGGTTATATCTTGTTGAAAAATCTACTATAAGAGTCTTATATCCAAATTGGTTTCCCTAAAGCAACACAATTCCTGTTTACATTTACAGAAGTATGCAAGAGTAACTTTTCTGTTTTGGTTAGTGGGGCAGTAATATTTAATTTACATGATTTGTTGCTAAATGAAACAACACTTTGAGTATATTTATAAAATTACATTATCTCATGTAAGAATACATTAGTTTGGAAAAACCATTACGGACCGTCCACACAGCAGCGTTAAAAAAATCTTGGAGGTGGGCGTATCTGAAGCTTGGGGATTTTTTGCGAGCAAGGCACCAACAACCAATCACATGAATCTCCCGCCCCCGACATACGAAGCAAAAAAGCCCGAAGTAAACTGGATATAAACTCCCCAAACAGGTGAAAACATACCACTGTCTCTGCCACCTTCCTCCATGCCTGGCTCCTCCGGTTTGTATCCCGGTAGGTAAATAGGGACTGGTCATAAAGCACCGGGTGATTCTCTACCGCTCATTTCTCCTCCATTTTTTGGAATATGAGGAAATGACCTGCGGTATGTCTCTCCCAGCATACACGCGGTTTGATTGGCTAGGGCTTGAACTGTCAGATTTGCATACACGGGATTTGATTGGCTGACGCTTCCACCTCAGCTTCAAAAGTTGAACATTGCTCAACTTTGAATCCTGAAAATCCTGAAAATCCTGAAAATCTCCGCTCTGCTGCCCACAATGCAGTTCGGCGAAAAGTGAGGGAAAATGACGTCACCCCATTCAAAGTGAATGGGCAGAAGCGTTTCAAGATTTTTTTAACGCTGCTGTTAGTTTGGAAAACCGTGAATACTAGTGGTTTCTGTAATACAAAAACAGTAATTCTGCATAAAATATTAGCAACTATGAGTAGCTTCAGACTGGACATATCAGACATGCTTGATTGTTGTATTTATTCTCTTCAGAATGCCATCCTTTCACTCTGTTGTAAAGCTGTTTGTCATATGCAGAAACCGTCCTCTGTGTAGTGAGTGCCCACACTGCAACGTGTTCAAAGCTATGAGGCTTTTGTTTGGTATGATTGAAGTAACAGATGGTCGTTTGTTAGGGACTTGACTTGGGAACCTAAGGGGGGCCAGTTCAAGTCACCAAACAGAATAATGCCCCTTTTCCACCAACCCGGTTCCGGTTCAAGATCCGTTCTTGTGCTTTTCTGGTGCTTAACTGGTTCTTCCCTGTAGCACCACTTGTGTTTCCACCGCTCAGAGCCCGACTGGTGCTGCCGCTGCTGCGTCATGACATCACTGTTTACGTGGCTGATTTTCTCCTCAACGCCGCTCACAACAACCACAATGGGGGACTGCGTCGGGTCGATGATCGTGTTGCTTTTAATCATACGGAGCCAGATTAAACTAAATAACCTACTCCTCAACCTTTACGTATCGTACACACGGTTCCGTTGCGTTGAAGCTTGCAGATGGGCGTGTCTGGCGCGCGACCAACAACCAATCACATTAATCTCCCGCCCCGGACACACAAGCACACGGTTTGATTGGCTAGCGCTTGTACTGGCATATGATTTGATTGACTGGCGCTTCCGTCGACGATACGTTATACTTTTCTCCAGAGTGCCGTGGTTCATTGTTTATTAATGTGGCTCAGCGGCATTTACCAACCGCTGCAGTGCTGCTTGTCCACCGGAGTTTAGTCTACCGTTAACTCACGGCAGAGTTTAGTCTACCGTTAACTCACGGCAGAGTTTAGTCTACCGTTACACGGCAGCGGCCGCTGGAAAGTATTCACTTTGTTTGGTGGAGAAGGGGCATAAGAGTGTGTACAGCAGCTTCCCACTGCTCCTTGTAAGACAGGAGAATGCAGAATCCTAACTCCATCGTGTGTCCGTGCTCTTGTCTTCCTCCTGATAGAATAAACTGAATGACTTGGAGGTCTTGGCTTTGATGATTGCAACTCTAAGCCACGATCTGGACCACAGAGGAGTCAACAACTCCTACATACAGAGGTACTGCAGGAGAGATGAGTCACATAATGTATGATTGTATATGCATGTGTGGGAGTCTTTCTCACTTCCTCTGTGTTTCCAGGAGCGAGCACCCTCTTGCCCAGCTGTACTGCCACTCCACCATGGAGCACCACCACTTCGACCAGTGCCTGATGATCCTCAACAGCTCTGTAGGTGGACCTACCTCTACCCACGACACTAGAGGAAACACAAGTCCTTAAGGGGTTTTACTCTGCATAACAACTAGTTCATCTCACCTAGAAACTACAGAGACTAAACGAGACTACAGACGCAGCAGGGAAAGAGTCACTTCACACTCCTACTTTATCCTGATCACAGTTATGCAAAAACACGACTTGAGTCTAACTTTGAGCGCTTCAGCTGGTTCAGTATGCAGCTGCTGAGCTCCTGACAGGCCTCTGAGGGTCTGCGGTCCCTACATGGCGCCCTGCCAGCTTCACTTATTATTTCAACATCTTCACAGCTCTGTGTTGTCTTGCACATATACAGTATGTTAGACAACTGTTAGACACTCACATTCTCTCCTCCCTGTTGAAGGGTCATGCATTGTTTGTTTCAAAAGCTCGAAAATCCCACCAATAGCAAAAGCACTTGCCCTGTTAGAACTACATAATGTAATAAAAGTCCAATAAGAACTGGTTTTATAACACCTTGTTGCTATGTAATGTAATAAGTGTTATATGTAAACGTACTTGCTCTTGTGCCCAATAGACGTATAGCCAACACAAGTAAGAGTTTGTGCAAGAAAAGTGCAAAAAGCAGGCTATCGTTAATTACTATCTTCTCACCCAGTGTGGCTCGTTAAACCGGACTAAGTCAAATCTTAAACTAATATGCAGTTGTGCACACCACACAGTTGAACTATTCCGTGCCCCTTCCTGGTGTAAAATACCAGGCTTTCACTGGCGGTGACCCATAGTGAAAGCCTGGTCCAAAACGGTCATACATTTTTTATATTCTAGAAAGTAGCTCCAAAAACAACTGTTCACTATTCTATAGGAACGAGGCAGATATCTCTTAACCCAGTTAGATCAAACCAAAACCATCTGCATTTTTCTTACATTGTTAGCCAATCTTGCTAAGAGCCTCATAACAGTGGATTTACAGTGTAAGCCTTTATATAAACAGTGTTATCACAGAAAGCTGTAACCTGAGTCATAACATATTTGGATAGTAGTGCTTGAGGTGCTCTTTGGATAAGGAAACATGTGGATGCAGACATTCCCTTTGTTTAGGTCTAGCATGATTATGCCATTATAATAAAGGCTTTTTAATTGTTTAAAAAGAGATTGCCTTGAAGCTTTTTTCAACCTGAGTTTGTCTAATGGCATAGTACTGGATGTTCTCAGGCCTAATGTTGCTGCAGTATCCTGGATCACTCTGTGATTTATTATGGCTATTCTGCTCATTTTCCAGCTGCTAGCCTACCCTCTGAACACTCTGATGGCCCGTTTAAACATAGTGACTTACAGCCTCCTCTGATCCTTATGGCCTCAAAAGAAACTCTAAATACACTCCCAACTCCACAGCACCACTTAACCCCACTGCTGCTGGACACATTCAGCCACACTCACCTAATGCAAAACACACACACATACTGTAGTGCAAAGCCATGCTGCATGAAGTTTCAACAAGTCTTAAAGCACTTCAAATGGAAGTGACATGACAATAATGTGTCCACTAACATGCTTACAACCCTCCACACACGTGTGTGTGTGTGTGTGTGTGTGTGTGTGTGTGTGTGTGTGTGTGTGTGTGTGTGTGCAAACTATGGCAGTGTAGTGTTGTCATGGAAACCCCTTGGTGGTCTATCACAAAACAACACACACACACACACACACACACACACACACACACACACACACACACACACACACACACACACACACACACACACACACACACACACACACACACACACACAGTGATACAGTTGTTTGTACTGGATGTAAATCATTAAATCTGTTCCTGCACTCACACACTTGTTATTCTTGTGTTTCTGCCTCTCCAGGGAAACCAGATCCTGAGCGCCCTCTCCCTGGACGAGTACAAGGCCACTCTGAAGATGATCGAGAGGGCTATTCTGGCCACTGACCTGGCTCTGTACATGAAGTACGTACCAAACGTCAAGCCCAGATGGAAGTCTGACTGGAGTGCAGCAGAGAGGGGGAATCACTTAGGAAGAGTCAACGTGGGCAGAGGGAAGAGACGGGGGTTATTCTGTCGTTTTATGACTGATTACATTCAATCAGCACTTTACAAAAGATATCACTTAGATTACTATACAGAAACTCTTTGTACTTGTAAAGCTTAATGAGGACATATTGGGCCACCTAATTGAGTTTGAGGCCCCTGGACTGGCAGTTAGTCCCTGTGCGAAGGACCCCGGTCCGAGGAGCAGAGAAACTCAGGGATTTTAGCCTTTGCAGACCATTGACATGCACTAAAACCTATAGAACACACTACAGGAGAGGGAAACCCCCCAAAAGCTTAACAGGGCCTCTTGGAAAGTTGTTCAAACTGTATTTTCTAAAATAACCCCCACAGTATCTGCTCAATGCTACACTATGTTCACCAGCTGCTGTTAATGCAGGTAATGTACAGTGGGTTTATCCAAGCTTTATCACTGAAAGCAGTTTGCAGGATTTTATTGCAATGATTATCTTTTCTGTAATTATGAGAGTTGGTTTAACCCTCCTATTGTCTTCGTTTTCCCCCCCTTACTTTGGTGTTCGCGGTCAAATTTGACCGGTCCTGTTTTAACTGCTATTACATTAACACAAAAACCATTAATCATCACCAAATTTCATTTAACACCCTTTCAAACTGTAAATATTGTATCAGACTACTGGTATACATGAACAACTGCAGTAAATATACAAAGAATAGACACTGAACATGTATTGCGTGTGCCAGGTGTGATCCATGTGGGGGGATGGGCACATACGAGCGGGAAATGTGTCAAATTGTTCTGTGTGTGTTTGTGTGTGCCAGGTGTGATTCACATGGGGGGATGGGCACATAAGGGGGGGAACACATCTAGAGTATGTGTGTGTGTGTGTGTGTGTGTGTGTGTGTGTGTGTGTGTGTGTGTGTGTGTGTGTGTGTGTGTGTGTGTGTGTGTGTGTGTGTGTGGGTGTGTGTGTGGGTGTGTGTTTTATCTGATCCGGATGGTTACTAATTCCTTTTCTTTATGGCGGTCATTTTTGACCGGGAACACCATGGGTGTTTCAAAGTTGACTAAATCATCCAAAATTCTATGAAAGTGGTGATCAGCAATTGTATATGTTCAAATGTTTACTGTGAAGGATATCATAAAGCCTTAATGCAATCGAATGTAAAACAAAAAAGTTATGATTGATGAAAGTAGTAAATCGGTCAGATTTGACCCGAAGACAACAGGAGGGTTAATAACATGCAACATCCACAGATATGTATTGGTGGACTGGTGAAGACCACAATTTGGTTTAGGAAAATACTACATTATTAGATATATTTTCCTTCCCACATTTTATTTCATGTGGTCCTTCTTCCTACCCCTTTTTTTTCTCTCTTTTACATTCATCCACCTCAGTGATAACAGCTCTTAACAAATCCCTCTCTCACTCTAGACAGTGGGGGGTAAAGATCTAAGTAGGTTTTATTCTGTGAGGACAATTATCTGTATCATTGTGTGTGTGTGTGTGTGTGTGTGTGTGTGTGTGTGTGTGTGTGTGTGTGTGTGTGTGTGTGTGTGTGTGTGTGTGTGTGTGTGTGTGTGTGTGTGTGTGTGTGTGTGTGTGTGTGTTATCAGAAGGCGTGGTGAATTCTTTGAGCTCACCAAGAACAGCCAGTTTGTTTGGGAGAACGAACATCACAGAGACTTACTGAGGTGAGTTCCAAGTCTTCAAAACTCAAATAACGTTCCAAGTTTGCAACACTGCACCCAACAGAGCCAGGCCAGGTTTCCCCTGCTTCTCGTCCTAAAACTTCCTGATTAGTAGCCCTCTGGTTTACCTTCACAGTCAAGTCCAACTTTTAAATTTGGCTTTTAACTGAATTGCATTTTATTTTCCTATTTTCTCTAATTGTATTCTTATTTCATTCTTATTTCATTCTTGTTTTATTCCTGTTTTATTCTGTCCTACGTTGGTATTGAGAGTTCTTTTGAATCACAAAGCTATGCGTGAATATACCCGGGATGGGGGAGATAGTATTATTTATTTTTTTGTATGTGTTTGTGAAGCACTTTGAGTTACCTTTGAGTATTAAAAGTGCTATATAAATAAAGTTTGATTTGATTTTTGATTTGAGTAGTATTGACCAATCACGTTTGAGCCTGTTTGGTTAAATGCAGGTTAACAGTTCTTTGTGGAGAGCAAAAGAGGCAAAATGCACATGCCGAAATACAAACCATGGAACCCATCAGCTATCATCTGATGAGGATTTTATTTCTTCATCTTAAAGTTTGCTTGAAAACTAGGTTCTGGTTCCCGGAAACCATCCACTCAGAGAGATTGTCTCTTAACTCATACGTTCGCACAACTCATACCTTAGTCAAAATATCCTCTGGCCATTCTACAACCCAATAATGATTGTTCAGTGCCCAGAGGCAAACTGTTGTCACATGATATCCATGGGTTTGGAACCCATCACATCATGGCTCCAGTTTTGTAGGCTTCTGCACATACAGACTCACATCACTCTTGATATGAGCATTTCTCCCAGAATGTACACATTTTTCTGAATTTAAAACTCCTGAGTGCTGTATAAATGTGACTGTAAGTATTTATTTTTTACAAATCAATGGCTATTTAAAGAAAAAAGTTAAAACATTCCAAAGTGACTACTATTGATACAAATGTAACTTGAATGTTAAAGGTTTGTGCAACTGAAGCATCTTAACCGAGTTCTCTCTTCACAAACATGGTATTTTTGTTTCTGTGTTATTTCAACATACTAAAATATAGCCATGCACCATAACTCACTATGGTTTTATGACCTAATGCTCTGAAGCGCTACTGTTGGCGATGAGATAGGGGGTGGCTTTATGAACACCAACGTGTCATTCTGTGTTCCTCTTCAGGTCAATGCTGATGACGGCGTGTGACATCTCAGCCATCACCAAGCCCTGGCCCGTGCAGAAGAGGGTAACCCCCCCCCCCCACACCGCTGTGATTTATCTAGCGCTCTGCTGGTTGCTGCTAAAAAAACTCATACTTACAGTAGCTACTCTTTACATATAAAAGCACATGACATAATGCAGTACTGTACTACTTGAATATTCTTTAATAATATAATACCATTCTGCATAATAGGTACTTTTACTTTTAGTACATTTAGCTGACAATACTCCTGTCCTTCTACTAAAGTCACATTTTGAGTCCAGGACTTTCACTTGTAATGGAGTATTTTAAACCAAAGTACTTCTACTTTTACTCAAGTAAAGGAACCAAGTACTCCTTCCACCTCTGCTTATGACTAATGTGACATCACTAATGAACCGCAACATGCTTTTAGGTTTCTAACTGTAAAGAGCATTGTAATAATTACAGTATCTTTCTATTTACTTTTTAAACACACACACACACACCCTTCTTTCAGCATCCCCATGTCAGAGCAGTCTCCCTATGGGTTAATGTTCCCGTGAGCTTCGTTAGTCTGCGCCTCGTTAGGAACCATAGTGACAGTGGAGAGAGGTTCAGGCAGGCAAAACACTGTGTGTGTGTGTGTGTGTGTGTGTGTGTGTGTGTGTGTGTGTGAGGTTGTTTGTGTTCACAAGTCAGTGCTCTTTAATAAAAACAGATGTGGCCCTCTCCTCAGATAACCTCTTAAAATTAATTTGGAAAGTAAACATGCAAATACTTTCTCTAACTCAAACACGCACTCTGATGCCAGACCAGATAAACTGAGTGTTTCCTCTTTCTCCTCCGCATGGGTACATTTTGGCTTTAGATGAACATTGGAGTTTCATTTGAGTTGTCATGCCTTTAAAAATCGACATGGTTCTGTGTCTCTCTGCGTTTGTACGCTGGGCGAATGCTAATGCTAATAATGCTAATGCGAGGATATGCGAGGATAATAAAATGGCGGCTCTACAAAATATTTCAGAGTCTTACGGGGCGTGGTTTGCAATTCGCCCAGCCAATCAGAACTGGGGCACTTTTTTCCCCCAGGAAAGTACCATCTCTCAGCAGGCACTAAAAATGGGGGTAAAAGTTCCTGAGATTAAGTGCTCTTTTTGGTGTGAACGCGACATAAGGGGTACTAACGGAACTAAACGCGAAAAGTACGGGGAAAAGTACTCCGGTCTGAACGCGGCTATTGACTTACATTGGGAAAGAGTGGTCTGTAAATCGTTGGATAATTTTTTTGAACTGAATAAACTACAAAGTATGAACGTTTGTATAACCAGTGGCGTTTTTATATGTACAAAAGTGGTGGGGCACAAAAAACTTAGATGTATAAGCTTCTGCAGTGACGTGCAGTGAGGTTCATGGCTGGTGAGGCACTGGCACTGACTCTTCAGGTTTACAAATATTATATTTTGACCTAAATCCAAAATATAATATTATTTTCAAAAGCTTTTTTTGTCTGATGCTTCGATTAATTTTAAACAGACAGTTCAACAAAAGGATACCCAAAAAATGTAATGTAATGTATCTTCTTGTAGTTTCAAAAGTCTATCATAAATCTAATCGATAGATTTATGATAAAAAAATCATAAAAGTAGGGTAGACATGTGGATGTTATCCGGCTGAACAAAACGTGCATTTATCTAACAGGTACGTTTCCCACAGATCTTATTTCGAGCTATTTTCTAAAATCCTATGGAGAAACCTCATTGCTTTTTTGCAGCTTACTTCCTGGTTTTAGGACGCGTCACTGCAGCTCTCTCGTCTCCTCTTCACACAGCACACTTTTCGCGGCACACGTACTTACAGCCAATCAGCTCTGAATGATGTGAGATGATGTATGGTGGGGATGGCAACTCTGTGCCCCTCTGCTCTTTTTTATTTTGCCACACACATTACATTGAAAAATACTCTGAGCATGCGCAGTGTAGTTTTTACAGTCACCGTTCACTTTGACAGTGAGAGGGAGGGGCATGTTCAGGTTTTGTCCCATATGGCTCAAAACGGCACTGTAGACACTAATTAGAAGAACACAGACTAAAACAGCAATGTACAGACGAATCAGATGATTAAACATGACCTTAAAATATATTTTATATATTTCTTTTTTTGCATCTCTTTGCATTTTTTGTATTCATTATGTGTAATACTTTCTGCTGACACTAGGTGGGGCTGTGCCCCACCTGCCCCTAATGACCAGTCGCCACTGTGTATAACACTTACATTCGGTCCTCAAGTTGTAAAATGTGCTAATAACATTATTCTGAGAGTTATTTTCCTCCGCATTATGAACGTGCATCTATCAAATTAACAGTTGTATTCATTATAATTGTATATGTATACATATATAATAACAAGTTGTATTGTAGTAGGAATGAATGAGGCCCCGCCTCCCACGCTGTATCCAGTTCTTATTACTTGTTTCTTCAAGTCGTTGCGTGTGTTCTTCCTTGCCTTCTTTATAGAGTCTTGGTCTAACTGGTTCTTTTTCAGCGGATTAACTCAGGCTGTTTGACAAGTTTGTATCCACGATACAATATCCCAACTTAGTTCCCAAAATCAACCTCATGAAAATGCCTCCACTAAAATTCAAAGTGCCACAAATATGCCAGGGTTCCAGGGTTAAATACAACAGCATAGCAGCAGTGTGATATAACACGAGGGATCTTGACATAGGAAATTGTGTTTTACTTGTGATACATGTTTGCTTCTTTGCCTTTCATCACATTTGAATATATGTTTGTTTTAGAATACTTTTGGAACTAAAAGTGTTAACATTGATAACAGTGTAAAGAAATAACTCCTTGATATGTTCTTTTTTTGTCCACTGAATTTTAGAATCAACATGTTGTTTTTAAGATTTAATTTGAACTCTGATACAGGTTGCCGAGCTGGTAGCCACTGAGTTCTTCGAGCAGGGGGATAAGGAGAGGCGGGAGCTGAACGTTGAACCCATCGTAAGTGCAGTGTCACATCAGGGTTCTACAAACCTTTAAAAGAAGTAGAACAAAAGCTGTAGTATACCACTGGGATCTTTTTCAATTCAGTTTTCATTTTTGTATGTACTGTGTTCCAGTTTATCACCAAAACACGCAGCATCTTATTTAAAGGGCTAAACTGATGATGCTCAGCTGACGTTTTTGTGTCACCTGACAAATAGTTGCATGTTACAGATCAAGTGGGACTGTCCTGCTAATGGTTCAGAAATGTGGTTCTTGTTGTCTGAAACTCCATATACTGAACACGAAATATGATGTGATTTGGATACATTTCTGCCATCTTTGTATTTCTTTTCCGAACCTTTCACTTTAGGACCTGATGAATCGGGAGAAAAGAGATAAGATTCCCAGCATGCAGGTGTCCTTCATTGATGCCATCTGCACTCAGTTATATGAGGTATATCATCTATTTCTCCTGTAGTGACCACAGATCGCGTAGATTGAAATGAATGAATGCTGGAAAAGTTATTTTGACATTGCCAATGGCATTCGTCCTTTAAATTTGCCACTTGCTAGAAAGATGAATGAATTCTCTATTTTAGTACAATGCTCATTTAATTTTCCCAAGGTAAATAACATCTCTTTGTCTCCGTCACAGACCTTGTCTGGCATGTCGGAGTACTGCTCCCCGTTGTTGGAAGGATGTCAGAAGAACAGGCAGCGTTGGAAGTGTTTGGCCGAGGAGTGTGAGAAGGGGCTGGGTAACGGCTTCATGTGATCCCAACACGAGTTTGATTTTAAACCAACATTAATGTCCATGGTTTTCCATGTCCAACCTGGTCTCACAACATTTCATGAAATGTGCATGATATCTAAACGGACACATATGAGTCTGTGTGAAAAAAGGTTCAGTTCCCAACTTTTACCAAGAGTTTTTCTAAATTAAGAATAATTCCAGTTACCTACAACTTTGATCTTACTTTCATAGGTTTGCCCACCCTTCCTATTTGTGATGATAAGGTTGTACTCACTAAACCTTACAATAAGACTAAGAGCCAGGGACAGCCAAGCTTTGAGTTGAATGCTAACACAAGCATGCTAGCAGAAGCACAATGCTTTCATGCTGACGTTTAGCGCATAGTGTTGCTGTAATGTTTAATGTTTCCTTATTAACAGCTAATAAACAGCTGATTAGCACTAAAGCTAATTATGATGGGTAAGTCATTTGTTTCTGAGCCTCTAGTCATTAACTAAAGTATTGCTTCAGGAAGCGGATCACCAAAGTCATTAGAATTAGTGCTCTTTGAACAATAAATGTCTGTACTAATTTCATTGCAATCCATCTAGTAGATACTGAGATACTAAGTACTGGGGGCCGACTATGGTTTTAAGGTTTTAATGGTTTTGCATAATTTAATAAAACACAAACATCCTAGAAAACAACAGACCAACAGTGCAGGAAGAGGCAAAAAAAAAAACGTGGGCTTATTTAAAGCCTCTACCTAAATAATGTTAAAAATAACAATTTTATATAAACACAAGATCAAGAAACCAACAATTGCTTAAATTCAATAAAAATGTCAAACTTTAAGATCAATATGTACTATAGTTACAATTTTAACATAATAACACTATGAAACCGGGCATCATACAGGGGTCAAAGCAGCGAGGTACACTTCTGGAAGGTGTACCTCGCTGGAAGGCCTGCAACGGATGGTGAATGAACCTCTACAAGTCCAACACTTAGGGGTCCTCCAGGCTAAAGGTTCCTTTGCCACATTAAGTTGGTGTGGTTAGCAGTCTGTGTTGTAGCTAACCGTGAGGCTAACAAAACTCCATGTAAAGGAATGAGTTTGGATGATCTGGCTAAACTTGTTTACATCCCTCCGATCATCCCACAGCACATTTCTGGCCCAGCCGGATTCTGTACCCAGATCTTAGCGAAAACTTTAGTGAGTACGTTACTAAATCTGTGAAAGTAAGACCGAATAAAACATTAAACAAATTGATAAAGTATCTTAAGCTAACTGTTAGCCTACTGTTTCACAAACAGGTATGATCCTTGTTCCAGAGGTCATGCTCATTTTAGGGAAACTTTGTGAGACTTGTCTTCCTGTCATCACATTATTTCATGGCCTTTTTTTATTTTTGCACAGAGTGACTGTCATGTTGAAGTCTCACTTACATTATCTCTCACAGTTAGTATATTTTAGGAAAACACTGAATGGTGATACAGATCTCTGGGGATCAGCACCAGTTTGGTGGAGACAGATATTGTACTGTAGACATATGTACATAATATACATTACATAGTGTCACAATAATCTGAGAAACTTGTTAAGTCTGTCTTCATTCACAGCACTACAAGGGTTTGAGTCTTTTGTAATGTTTCACTCATTGTCTTAACTATTGTGTATTTATTTTTTGTTTTATGTATTTATTAGTTTCTATATTGTAAGGTCAGTCTTTTGTCAACAGCACACAATTCTTGATATAGTAAAAAGCAGTTTTCATATTTAAAAAAAACCTATTTTTGAAGTACCTTTCTTAGGAACAACACGTTCGGGTGCCACTTGGATGTGTACTGTTTTGTATTGCTGTTTCAAAGAAAAGGCCTGTAATTTCGAAAGGGAAATGGGTCGACGTTTTCCACTGCCGTTATGATAGAATAGGAGCAATTCACAATTCAAAGGAATGTTTGTATATTTTTAGAAATGGAAAGATGGAGCAGCCGGACCAGACAGTGTTATGATTTACTAGTATGACGTTTCTTGCATATCCACCAAAAATAGAACAGAACTGAAAATCAACCAATAAGATTGTGTCATCTAGCCTGGGTACACTGTATTGTATAAACACAGTGTCCTATCAAATTGAAATTAATCTTATTAAAGCTTGTCTTCAATTGATATATAAGAAATGTAACACACTTTAAAGACTGGCCAAGAGTTCAGCCCGGGTTAATTAAAGGTCCCATGACATGGCCATTTCTACTGATCATAATTCCATTGTTGAGGTCTACTAAAATAGATTTACACTGTCCAAACTCACATTGGTTTCTCATACAGCATCTCTGTAAAGTATGTATATTCACCAGGTATTCACTCTCTGTCCTAAACGGCTCGTTGGAGCTCCTGCCCCCCCCTCCCCGTGAGCCCAGTGTGCTCTGATTGGTCAGCTCGCCCACTGGCTCGCTGCTGCGAGGAGCTGACAGTGTGAGCTGGCTTACTGGTGTGGTTTCCTGCTTGCTGCGAGACATCTCGAATGGACGCAGGGGGGGCTGAGGGGGCTGCAGCACCTACAGTGTAAGCGCGCCAGTTTTGCCGCGCTGCGAGGCTCCACTAGCACCCCCCCCCCCCCCCAGCGCGTCACATTTTTGCCGCTAAGAGTGTGTGTGTGTGTGTGAGGAGCTCCACGGATTGGTCCATTTGGCATAGACAGGTCTTTTCTGTGTTAGAGTTGTACTCGCTACAGGGTGTACTTTGAGGGTTTGTGGCTCTGCAGACCGTTTACATGCATAAAACCCCTCATAACACACAAGGGGACGGGTAATAACCGGAAAAGCATGACATGGGACCTTTAAATTATTTATCTATTCAAAATGATTATGAATGTATCAGGGCTATAAGCATGACACCGTTTCTTAGTGTTCATTCCTTTATAGTAGAACAGTCCATTTGGAAAGTATAGCAATGTGAAAGTGAAGTAGTCTGAATACCTTCTGGCTACAATTTTAAACCGGTTTCAACCAAGCAGCATCTTTCAACTTCATCAGAGCAATGAGAAACATATTAGTAATAAAGACTTTTGTACACGTTCCACATTTTTGTTCTTTTCTTGTAAATGACAGACCTCAACACATTTCTAAACTAGGACTGGGTATCATTTCAAATTATTTATGGTCATGACAGTACCACGTCCAAGTGTGCCGGATTTTAAGTAGGCAAGACTCAACTTTATTACGTCTGTTGACCCTGTCAACGGCTCACATCTGAACACACAAAGAGCTGCTCGTCGCATTAAAGATTCCCAGCAGAAAACCAACGTGGTAGACGAACAAGATTTATATCTGCAGTTTCACAACACATGGACTTACATCTAACTCTGCTGTTTCTACTGACAGTCACTGCTCCAGCAGGTTCCACTTCTTTCTAGCAGACAGCGATTGGGACAGTAATTGCTGTTGAGCTCTGCCTACAAGCTCTACATCAACTGTCTCAGCTACACTGAGCAGTGGACATCACACACTATGAAACCTGCGTGCAAGTTTTACATATGCTAGGAGGCAGGTTATTTGAGGGTTAGTTAACCTTTAAGCTAAGTCTGGACTGAGTTGCATTTCTGAAGCTCAGTTAAACAGATCATTTCAAGTTACAGTACCTACAAAGTTTCATTAAGGTCAAGCAGGGACCTGCCCAGAGCAGTGTCTGCCCAGGCTGTTATAAAGTGTAGTTAGTATCAGTACGCTCAGTAACACCCAGGTAGATTTTACTAACAGCCCTGTCTTTACTAAAGCACTTATCCAGACACAAGCTCAGAATGTTGTACCAGTGGTTGTTTTGTATCCTAGTACATGTGCCTGACCTCTGTGCTTCTTCAATACTAAATATATATTTCCTTACTGCTTCAGTCTCTGGGTTGTTCCAGAGATGTTGTTTTCTAAGTCTAAAAGTTGCATGTACATTAGAGGGCATTACACCAGAAAGATGTTTTTTTTAGATAAGAGATTTGTCGATGTAATATGCTGATAGGGTACCTTTATAAAGGAGGTGTTCCACATCTGCATCTGTCGACACCACTGAACACTGTGAGCCAAGTAAACTGTATGTTCCAATAAAGATAATGATTATTTTCTGTGGATTTCTTCTATAACATGACATACTGTGTAAACTACAATCCCACATAATCACCTGGAACCAACTAGTGAGGATGCACTGCCACCTTCTGGTCAGAACCGGTTAACCCATGACAATGAAAAACGTTTGAGAAAGACATTTATTTACGACATTTCATAAAAGTTTTACATATAAACCACTATCTTCTAACAGAAGTTGACGACTTAAGAGAAAGAGGAAACAATAAAGGAAAGAAAAGACAGTTGTTCCAAATTGTTGGATCAATGATCATGAGAAATATTTACATCAACATAGACAAACCAGGTTGTTGTCACATTCTTCTCAAGAAGAAAAAGAAAGACACAGGCACGATCAGGAAATGACAGCAGAACAACTTTGGGTTCTCTGTGTGAGAGAGTCTAAACAGAGTCGGTCCTCTTGTACGCCACCATGCTGTTCACCTTGTGGATGGAGGTGGTGAAGGAGCGCAAGCGCACCTCCTCTGACTGGTCGATGATCTGCGGCCCAGACGCCTCCCATTTATCAGGAACCAGCAGGTCTTTGTCTGTGTAGACAAGGAGGTCAAAGGCACCTGGAGAGCAGGAGGCAGAGGTCAGATGGTGAAGGAGAAGTCAGCTGCTTATCATCCACACCTGAATACTAAGGCTTCATCGTTTCCCTCACAAGAGTCTCTTCCTCACTCCTTAGTCTCGCCCCGTAAAATGCGGGGATATCCTTTTACTCAAGCGTTACTTTTAAACGACGCCCTTTACTGCTGGCGTGTGCACAGTCTTATCACCTGTTTATTTTGTTTCCACATGTTTGTTATAATGAATTCGTCCATCTCTTTTTATTCATGATTTTTAATGTATTCTTTTCGGTCCTGTATTTGTTTCCACGTGTAACGTAGGTTTTGGAGTAGCAGTTATAATAATACAAATAATAATAATTGGTGGCTTAATAGCAGGGATGCAAACTCATCAGGTATGAAAAAGGTGACAAGGATCCGAGCCCCCCGACCCCACGGAATAACAGGATTTTAGCAGTCAGAACAACTAAAGCAGTTAATAACAGAAACGCCAAAGAGTCACATCTAATAGACATTTATAAAAGCATTTATTTTAATTGTGTAGCAGTCAGTTTATAATTTTGGCAGCACTGTTGAGCATTTTGAAAATGTATTTTCATGCCTCTGTGCAAGGCTTAGTCTTTCTATCTTTATAGCCACTGGTGTAAAGTAACTAAGTTCATAAACTCAAGTACTATACTTGGGTACAATTTTGAGATACTTGTACTTTATTTAAGTATTTCAATGTTTTGCTACTTTGTTCTTCTACTCCACTACAGTTCAAAGGTAAATGGTGTACTTTTACTCCACTACATGTATTTAATACCTTTAGTTACTTTACAGATGTGGATGAATGATGTGAAATATAATCAAGTGTTAAATCAGACTTTAGTTCCACCTGGAGTAAATTCACAAGCTACCCTGCAGTATACAAAGTCATTCAAACTAGCTGCACCTTTACCAGCTTTGAGAACACTTTCATGATCAATCATTATAAAACATATCATATATATTATTCTGAAATGGACCAATCTGCACAATGACTACTTTTACTGTCGCTACTTTCACTATATTTTGATGAGAATACTTTTCTACTTTTACTTGAGGAACATTTTGAATGCAGGACTTTTACTGTAACAGAGTATTCCTACACTCTGGTACTTCTACTTTTACTCAAGTACAAGACCTGAGTACTTCTACTTTTACTCAAGTACAAGATCTGAGTACTTCTACTTTTACTCTAGTACAAGATCTGAGTGCTTCTACTTTTACTCTAGTACCAGATCTGAGTGCTTCTACTTTTACTCAAGTACAAGATCTGAGTACTTCTACTTTTACTCAAGTACAAGATACTTATACCACCTCTGTTTATAGCCTATGAAAAAAACAATTTGAAAACGAAGGCTAAAGCTAACGTTAGCAGATAGTGACAATGTATGCTAGTTAGCTAGCTCAACGATTCATTAAATAATATTGCGACAGAAAAACTTTCAGTGCACATCACGCTCTGCCGCTCCGACAGGTGAACACCTGAACGGCCCGTTCTAACAGCTGTTCACCAGCGGTCCAGTCTGTGCCACAGTGACTCCGGACCGCACAGTTAATATTAACGAACGCACCGTAGGTAATGTAGCTGCTGAAGCTAGACCCTCATCCCGGAGCAGCAGAGCCTTATACATCCATGAGCAGAGCCGACAGGCAGGAAGACTTCATTATAATATATAAAAAAAGAACACCATGCGTGTCATGATGGCACATAACAGCTCGCGGCAGCAGATTACTCCGGGTCCAAGACCCCCACCATACCCCAAAAATATTTTTATTGCAGATCTACATGAATCACACAAACGACCTATTTTGGATTCAAAACGGCAAATTTCGCCGAAAGGTGACAAGTTTGCATCCCTGAATAGATCTTATATTGTGTTGTTAGAGCTTGTTTCAGATGCACATTCGTATTGGATGGTGTAATTGAAATTCTTCTACAGAAGAGAAAAAATATCACTAAAAGATTTGATAGGCATATTATCCATATTTATAAATCCATTTTACCATTAAACTGTTTGAAGTTCGGTGTCCTTTTCCACACAGATCACCGATAACAACAGTACGTATTATGTGCGAGTAAGTATATTTCACTTTAATGTTTTTATTGAGTAGGATCTCCTTTATTTATATAAAGAGATTTATATATTACATTTGTATTGTATCCCCGCTGTTGTTTCCTCTGTGCTGGAGGAGGGCCGAGATGAGGAGGGACATTGGGATGACCCATAAGACAAACAGTTTGTTGGTAGAAAAGGGTCTGGATACTCACATGGGGTCTCCAGCAGGGGCAGGAAAGTCACTGTGGCAGTTATCTGTCTGATCACCGAGCGGATCTCATCCTGAATGATCTTAATAGACTTCTCTCTGGGAGCACTGGGAAACACATAAGAACAACTGAGTTAACGAACATGCTATTATACTGTCATTGATGTGTGTCTATCACTACTTCCACCTAAAAACAGGGTAACAAATATGTGTTAGTTTTAAATCAAAGACAAGAAAAAAGGACAATGTATTTTGGGATTTAGTCAAGATGAAC